AAATTATTCTATTAAAAACTACTCTAAGCTAGGTGGGTGCTGGTAAATAATAAGTAGCATACACAAGATAAGTACAAAATTATATACTCTAGCTGGTGAGTGTGAAAGCAGGAGGTGTGTTTTAACTTGTGTCAAAGAAAGATTTTTTACTTGTGGATGAGCCTGGTGATGATTGTCAGCTCTGACAGCTGCTGTTTCCTTGTCTGTGACCAAACATTGTGCGCAGGAATGTCTCCGGTCCAGTACACCCAGTCCCAGGGACCGGCTTTGGCAGCGTTCTCCAAGAGGTTCTCCACAGTCCACAGAGGCAGGTCGCACTTACTGTAGGTTCCCCAGTAACCAGCCTCCCTCCGTCTCCAGCTGGGAGAGCCGGAGTCATTACGACAGCACAGAGGGTCCTTACAGTCTGCGCTGCTGCCAACTTCATACTCCTGTTGGTGTAGATGATTGAACTTCAGAAAGAGGGGCTTGATCGAAAACACAATCATGTGACCAGAATCAATCTGATGTTGTTTAGTTAGCCATTCCAAACTTCCTGGAAACACTGTAACATGTTTGCGAGTAAATCATCAATAGAAAAAATTTGTTTTTGTTGGCTATGACCTCAACGCAGATGTGATGCTGGAATTTATACCATCCACTATCAAAAAAAAAAAAAGATGCACCCCTGTTCACCAGCACTTTCTATGTAGTGACCATTTCTTTTCAGTTCTTCCCTGGCACACACTCACCTTGTCCCAATGAACGTCTGTTAGGAACAGGACCCGGCTCTGTGGAGAACCGGGTTTGGGAGGGGAGGGTGGTGTAACAGGCGGTTTAGGAACCTTGGGCAAGCTGATGTTCCAGGGTGCATAGATGTCTAATTTCCCGCAGGAAGGCCCCACCAGAATGGCACACGCTTCAGAGGGCCACAGCAAGGACTCCTGCAGAGCCAGGATGAAGTCGTCCCTGAACAGTTCGGTTATTTGTCGACAGACCTGCTCGTCGGCCAGGTGAAGGCGGATACACACCTCACCTACTGCTTTTGCCACCCGCTCCTCATTGACATCACTCTGCGAGAGGTTACAAAAGCAGGGGTTACAAAGCATTCGAAAGAGGTGGGGCGACTACCCGACTGAAGAGCCTTTGAAAGATATCAAAACCTCAAATTTCCAGAAAACAACAACAAGGCTAACAGAAACCAATTTGAATCATCTTCAGTTCCAGATTACTAGACATTACTGAACATTTGACATTCCTGCTTACATTCTTGGCGCTGCTTTTCAATATATAGGCTATATCTTGCTTAAGCCCTTTCTAAGGCAAAAATGTTTCCCATATAACAGTGGAATGTCAGGAATGAAGTTCTTGTTAATGTCCATAAAAGTATGAATGTTATTTACTTTTTACAAATAGACCATGGAGGTCAGAAAATATAAAGAATGTTTTTTCAGCTAAAATCTTGAGAAGATAAAGAGATGACATTCTGAAAAAGAAACTTCTCCCTATAGGGGCCCCGTTTGTTTTCTAATTTAGTAACCCCTTTTTCAATATTGTCTCAGAATAAGAGAAAATACAATTTTGAATAACTGGCAACTTGAGCAGGGAGGATGCAGATGTGAATCACATCCTGTCTTACCACCCTAACTGTACTCAGGTCACAATTTTAATTACTACACAACCTAGAATTTCATTGAAAATGTAAAAGTGTTACTTTTCTTATGCAAGGTTGTACTTTGTAGCGCAGTTAAATCGTTATACTGACTCTTATATTCTAAATATACGAGCATAAAAAAATATAGCTTGTAAGGTGACTATACAGTTGAATCATATAATCTTAAGAGCATCAATTCCTGAACTAAAAACTAAAACTGCCTGTCATGAAGGGTTTCTTAAGGACTGTTGTCCTGTGGTACATAAAAAACCAACACCAATTGAAATTGCAACTACACCAAGATAAAATGAAAATTACCTCGTTAAAATATGTAATACGCACTGTTCTTTGTTTTTTTAATTCATAACTGTATGCTTCCTTTCTTTTCATTGTCCATTCGAGTTAACCCCATATAAATAAAATCAGTCTGCTTAGCATTGAGGATATCTCCATGTAGGTCATATTTAAGCTCTTTTATACCTCTAGTCTGTACGTCACTGTGTCTTGAAATACATTTTAATTGGATGGAACTGAATTTAAAAAAAAAAAAAAAAAAAAAAGTGTTTTATGTCTGAGTTTAGGAAAACCCGTGCAAACATTACCAGGAGGGCGATGTCAAGGATGGTGAAGAGAACTTTGCACACGGGGCAGGTGATATTTCTCCAGTTAAATCCGACATCTGGACGGTTCAAGCGCTCCACGAAGACCAGCCTGGTCTGCTCGGAGGTCCGCGCCGGGACACAGGAGCCCAACAGCGGCCACGCGAGAAGCAGAGCGCACGCTATCAGGACCCTCATTGTTCCCCTGACAGCAGGTGTGGTCGTCAGTCTGCATGAAGAAACCAAAAATAAAAGTGAGGGGCGTCAAAGGAAGTGACACCAGAAACTGACAAACCAGCAACAAACAAACAAACAAAACAGCCTGCTAACAAATGTAGCCAGCTGGCCTCAATGTTTCCACCGCAACCTCGTCCACTCTTACCAGTTTGTGGCGAACACAGACAGGTCAGAAGATCCGAGAAAAGTCGCTCTTCCCTCTTACTAAAAAAAAAAAAAGTGTCCAGAAACAAGGTCGTCAGCCCCCTCTGTGTGCTCCTCGGTGTGCACACTGGTGTACTGGTAGCTCGGTCTTGTGAACAGAAAGTCAGCTGACACATCACGTGTCGCAGTTTTTTTTTTTTCTTCCCTCTGAGTAAATTGTAACTCAAACCACAGCTGATAAGTCGACTGATAATTGCACTCGAAGTTTTTGAGTGGATTACCTTGCCCCAGCTCTTTTTTTCCCTTCTATACTTTCCTGCATAGTACATGCTCCTGCAAAACTGTTAAAAACAGATAGGCATACATTAAAGCTCCCTTCAGCAGTGCTCTCTGGCCATGAAACAGACTGAATGTACCACTAATGGAGAGGTGTCAGAGTGAGGGGGGGCTGCCCACAGTGGGCGCTCCTGAGCTGGTGGGGGGGGAGGGGGTCTAGGTGCCTTGCTCAAGGGCACCTCGGCAGTGCTCAGGAAGTGGACTGGCACCTCTCCAGCTACCAGGCCAGTTTCCGGGACGTTACGTGCCGGGACTTGAAAAGGCGAACCTCCGATTCCCAAACCAAGTCCCTACAGATTGCCCCAAGTTGTTGCCGCCTATAGTTGACGTGATTAATTATTTGTTATAATGATTTTCATTTTACATAAGAAATACTGGCTTAGTGATATGCTTGACTGTTAATAAAGCAGGATATTCTTTGCTAAAAAAAAATAACTAACTTAGACATGAAAAATCATTAAAGAGATAAGAGGTATTGTTTTGTCAACAGGGGTCACCAAAACCAACACAAACAGACAGTTCCTAACAGGAGCTTTAAACTACAAAGTCACATTGAACCCATGATATGAAAGTAATATAATTCCCCCAATTAATTAAAATAATGGATATTATATATACTAAAAGTACCAATTATTAAAGCTCCTGTGAGCAACTTTTATTTTTTATTAAGTTTGGCGCCCCCTGCTTTACTGATCTTGTCCTGTACATGTGAAAGTAGTGTTTATGTAGCCTACAGAACATTTGTTCCTTCTTTCTATTAACAGTCAATCATATCACTCTCTTTACTGTGAATAATATAAACAAATACTTTTTCTGCCGTGGCTGTTGGTCTTCTCGTCCACCTACCTGGCAGTAGTTGCAGGCATAAAAATACCTTGAAAGAAATAATCAGTCTTCATGCTAACTGATGCCTCTTTGTGACCTACCAGAAAAAAACAACACAATTAGCAACATCATTGAATCTTGCTATTAAATCTGAAGTTGCTGAAACAGTCGTTTGTTTACATTTTCGCACAACAAAGATTTTCAGAGACTCATAAGTTTGACTGTTACAAGAAAAAAGGATGTGATTTTTTTTTTTTGTCATAAAAATACCTTGAAAGAAATAACCAGTCTTCATGCTAATGATCTTTGTTATTGAAAGTCATCCAAAGGCATGAGTATTAATTTCAGCCGGTTACATAGCCAACTAAAAACTTTTCAAAGGCGCTTTAACTCTTAAGCAAGAATAAAAGGCAATTCCTTTACGTTTCTAAACTTAAATCGCCTCACAGGAGCTTTAATCTTATGATGTAACAAAATAAAATTAAAACTGATGCCTCTTTGTGACCTACCAGAAAAAAAAACAACACAATTAGCAACATCATTGAATCTTGCTATTAAATCTGAAGTTGCTGAAACAGTCTTTGTTTACATTTTCGCACAACAAAGATTTTCAGAGACTCATAAGTTTGACTGTTACAAGAAAAAAGGATGTGATTTTTTTTTTTGTCTGTGAAGGGCTACAAAACTATGGAACGACCTGCTCAATGAGATCAGGTCAGGCGAATCAGTCATCTCTTTAAGTCCCTTCTGAAGATACACTTTTACCGGCGAGCCTTTCCTGATTTTAGTTGAATTTAATTTTTACTTGAATTTCAAGTAATGAAATGTATGTCTTTTATAGTTATTTTAAATGGCTTTTATTGTGGTTGTTTATTAATGGTTGTTATTTCTTCAGAAGAGCAAGGAGATACAATGTACGGCTTTGTCCACAGGGGCACCAAATCAACACAAACTGAGATCTGCAGCTGTTGCCTCTAAGTTGAACTGGAAGCTTCACTACTGTATTCTAGAAAGGCCAAATTAAGGCCAAAGGGGTCCACTAAAAGTATAATATTGGAGCTTTCAGCCACATCTAGTGAGCGCCAAAATCAACTGGATCACTTCATGACGAAGAGCAATTTCTCTCAACTGAAAACCCAACATATGACAGAACATTGAGTAAACTTAAATATGAAACAAAAGTTTGTCCACACAAGGGAGTTGGTCTCAAAATGAAGGATCACAGATTTGTCATAAATATAAAACATTTATTGCATTGGTATTTGCTCATGTTTATAAAAGCATTGTTCCTATACACGTCTTTGGATCGGTCTTTGTCAGAGTCAAAAAAAGCCAATATTTCAATGAACATATTTCAGCCATAGTAAAAGAGCAACAGACAGTAAAAGCTTAAGAACATTTATACCTCAAATTTAAATTATACAAGATAGGCAATATAATACTTATTATGAATTGTGTAGCTGGAGTGGTCTCTGACAGTATTTACAGTGGCTTAGCAAGTACATGATTGAAGTGAAGATACAGAGTGGTTTGGAGATATAAAAGAATGTAGTGTTGCTGCCAAATGGTTCACTTGTCCTGCATCTTCTCCAGAATGGGGACTATCATGTCAAACTTGGGCCTCTTGGCTGGATCTTCGTTCATGCAGAGCCTCATCAGCTTACAGATATGAGGAGAAATCCCCGGTGGAATGGTAGGCCGAAGACCTTCAAGAGCCACCTGAGTAATGAGAGGGAATGCAAGATGCAAAGTTGGTGTAAACATCGCAAGCAATGAAACCTGTAAAAGCCTCTGGATATATAGCGTATTTGAGACACAGAATGTGGATGTGCACATGTAGTACAGAATTAGCCTTTGGGTAAATAAACATTGCGCCCACTTACCTTCATGCCTATCTCCATGTTTGAGAGGTCCGCAAATGGGACCTCCCGGGTAACAAGCTCCCACAGCAACACCGCAAAGCTCCACATGTCTGCAGATCTTCTGTTGATGTCTTCAGGCCTCTTCTGCAGGGCTGAAAACAAGAAGAAAAATCATTGTTTTTATTCTGTAGCATGGCAACACACCAGATTAGCATTATGACTACCTCTAAACTGGGACATGATTATACAGTACAGCATGTCTCCTACTGACTGACTCATAAGTGTAACAATCCATTATGGGAGGAGGGAGTAGGTGGAAGGGAGGAGGATTAAAAGGAACAAATACCTTCAGGGGCCATCCATGCTGGAGCGTAACTACGACCAGGACACTGGAAGGAGAACTTAGCGTCTGCCATGCTGATTCTGGCTGTCATGTCCTCGTCAATCTGCAGTATATTAGTTTGTTGCTCATTAAAATCTGCACAGTCAGTGAGTCATAGGATCGCCTTATTTGTGTTGTGCAGTGATAGAATAACATTTTCACAAACAACAGTTGCTTGTAGGCCAAGACAGTCTTACCATTATATGTTTACTGTTGAGGTAAAGCCGTGAAACCATTGGTTCTAAGGTGTGAAGGAACGCCATACCACTGGCTATGTCCAATGCAAACTTCACAGCTTGGCTTTGGTCAACCACCAGAGCTGGGGAAGAGAACGCAGGTAAAAAGAAGGGATAACAAAAAGGCAGGAAGAAAAGGAAGATAGAATAGTGGACTGAAGTTATGTTTATGTGTGGACATCAACTCAAATGACTTACTCGTGCCCTGGTGGAGTATGTTGAAGAGGGATCCATATGGCATGTAGTGTGTGATGATGATGGGGTGAGGTGACGGGGGTGACTGACATGCTCCGAGAACAGGCAGAATGTTTGGATGAGAAAATATCCTGTGCAGACAACAGAAAGAAAACGCAAACGTGTGTTAACTAAGGGCGGGGGAAAAATATTGAGACAGCAGTATATTGTCCTCCTACTGTATTTTCATGAAACAATCATCAAAGCGCTGGTTCCAATCTCAATATTTTATTAAAAAAGGGGATTTTGTTGTTATTTTACTAAACTCTCAAAGAGGGAAGGATGTTGGACGGACTGTTGAAGCCTGGAGAGGTAAGCTAATATGCTTATCAGCTTTTGTTTATAGTGTTTTGCTGTAGCTAAGTCTTTTCATTGGGAGATGTATTCTTATTAATTAGATCAGTTATGGCTATTTCTGTAAATACACATCATCTCTGCTTGTGAGATATAATTGTCAAGATAAACGAAAACCTAAGTAATCCGTTTTCACATGTGCACTCTTGAAAATCTCTCAGAAATTTCGGGCGGGCTACCACTGAAATCCTCCCCTTGTTCACACATGCACCTTACAGTCAAAGACTATCTTGTCAAAGGGAGGGGAGACGGGGGGGGGGGGGGGGGGTCTCCTGAGGAAAGACGTGATGTAAGACGAATGATTCTGAAGTGGTGGGTGAAGCAACAAGTCCACTATACTACACTATAATGACAATATTTGCCTTAATATCAATGCTCAAACCAACTCAAACCAGTTGCATGTATACATAAATTACCGGGAATAAACGTCACCAGCTCCTCTCATTTGCTTGAGGTGAACTCTCCTGATTATATCCTGCTGCTTTCTCACATCCGCTCATTAACACTTTACACTGAAATTGTACTCTGGATAAAGTCAGACGCTCCCCGAAAACTTCAGGACTTTTTCAGGAGTTTTGTGCAAGTGTGAAAGCATCTTATGGTTAACTGTCTGCCTTTTTAAGGATGCTGGTTTCCTTGACTCCACATGACTGTAAGACTTTTTTTCCTTTTGAAAAAGTCCTGCTTTTAAATTGTATGAGCATTCTTCAAACTGTATGTTGTGAATGAATTCACATTTAGTAGCTTTGTGTCATGTGTTTTTGTCATACTGTGGAGCTTCTCAGCTTCCAGAAACTATTTCACCATTTCACCGACCAAACCCACTTACAAAAAAAAACTCCTCTCTCTGTTGTTGCACAAGAATTTTGCAGTTCTCTGCAACCACTGACTTCAACTGGTGAAACCAATCGTCACTCCCATCCCTTTATAAGAACTGCGTGAATCAGCAAGTCCAAGTGCTCATAGGCTGACTACAACCCCAGACAGAAAAGAACCAAATATATTATCTTTAGTTTATGCAAGCAGATTGACAGCTTTGACGCCAAAAAACAAAACCCTCATACTGTATCTCTAATTTTAGTGCGAGGCTAAAAGAAATGACATTTAGGCCCAATCAAACCTACTTCTAATAGTTTTTTTTAAAGCTTTAAGACAGATTCATTAACTGACCTGAGTTTAGGATGCTCCTCATTGAAGTCTCTGCTCTTCCTCGTTGTCCAGTCTCTCACCTGTAGCACCTTCACTACAATCTCATCCCCTTGCCACCGGCCCTGCCACAACTGCACACAGAGCGATAGAAAGTGGTCAAACAACTCACTGGATTTTGAAAGAAAAATAAATCATGAACTGACATTCAGCGGGGAAACTAACCTCTCCGGACTGGTTTTCATTGATCTTTGCCAAGAGTGAAAGCTGCTTATAGTCAATACCGGCCTGCTTGTTCAAGGTACCATTACCTAAAAGAGCCAAGGCATGATCAATCAAATTCTAACTCAAACTTGGATGTGATTCTTTGATTTTTTTTATACTCACGAGGTCGTGTTCGCATGGTGCCCTTCCAGAAAGTTTCTTTGTAAGGCACTTTGGTCATACTCTGACCCATCTTCTCTGCCTTTTCTATGAACATTCACAAAAGAAGAAACAATGATACATAACTTCCAGTTGAAGGATTTTCTGTTCATTTTGTAGGACGTATTAGTAGGGATGGGACAATATATTAATATGTCTACTGCAACATTATCCTCATCCTGAGTCGTTTGTGTTGCCCGTAGGGATGAATGTGAGTGTGGCAGGTTGTTTGCCTCTATATGTCAGCCCTGTGACTGACTGGATAACAGTCTAGGGTGTACCGTGCCTCTTGCCCAATGAGAGCTGGGAACCGCTCCAGCCCCCTGTGACCCAAAAGCAGTATTGATAATGGATGTGTGGAATAAAAAAATATGGCTCAAAAACTAATTTCCTAGGAGCCTCTGACATGAATGAGTGCAACAGAAGTTAACTGGCCGAAGAAGAAGTTGACAGCGAGAAAAAAAAAGAAGACTGCTGGACAATGTCAAAAGTGGTGAAAAGAAGTTTAGAGATCAAGCGTGAAAAGAGGTGACACTGACATTAAATTGCAGTGAATAGATACATTAATCCTGCGCTTCAGTGTTTTAGGAGCCTTATATATTCTTCAGGGAATAAGTTATGTATCATTATATGATTGTCTTGCAATTGCTGTATCGTGATATTATTGTTATCTCATGCAATGTATTGCATATCGTATTGTATTGTATGGTGAGTGACCCTGCGATTCCCATCCCTACTAATCAGTGTGTTAAAATTGCACACAAATGATCTCTAACCTTCAAGGAGCTGTCTTAGGTGAGGCTTGGCCTTGTCCAGAGGTGTCTGTCCATACCTGTTACAAACACACACCTGGCCCCCACTTGCCAGTAAGTCCTACAACAAGAGGATTACACTGTGTTATTCATAAAGAAGATTGTTATCATGTTAAAAGCAAAAACACTGGGAGCATTCTGAGCTCGACTGCACAACAACTCAATCACTGTAGTGGCTGTTACTCCCCAGAAGAGGGCTCTTGAACGTGGGTGTATTGAACCTCACCTCTGCAACCTCATCTTGGCCCCAGAAGCAGGCGTAGTGGAGCGGTGTGTTGCCGTGCTCATTGACTGTATTGGGGTCTGCTTTGCACTGAATCAGCTAACACAAAGGATACAGAGTGAGGAAATTAAGCAATAAATTAAAATGTATTTTCTCGTGTCAATTTAAAAAAAAAAAAAAAAGTGCAACAGGTCCTGTTGTAACCATAAAACGTGTGAATGTGTTTACCTTAGCCACAATGTCTCTATGTCCATGACTGGCGGCGAGATGCAGCGGGGTGTCATCTCCTCGGTTCATCACATTGATACGAGCACCTCTCATAATGAGCATGTCAACAACACCGCTCCTCCCCTCCCTGCATGCCCAGTGGAGGGGGCTGAAGCCGTGATCATCGCTGAAACACAAGACACACAGAGATAAAAAGAGCAAAGGAGGACACATTCAGAAGCCTTTTAATCCTGGAGCACATGACAACGTTGGTTTATAAACCCTGAAATTGTTTGAAGGAGTGTGATGATGTGCTTTATTTGAACTCAACTGAATGTGGTTGCCCTTAGCAAAGGAGTATATTCACCTCTAAACAGTTAAACGCATTATGTTTTATGTCTTTTATTAGCAAGATCCCATCTTCTTCTTTATTGGAAATCTAACTAATCCCCCTCTTTCACTCAATGGCTTTAAAATAGTCATACTTTTGTCACATTGCATGCCAGCCTGAGCTTCAATCATCTTTCCTTTAAGCCTATCATGATTATCATTTTGGCCATAATCATGTATCTCTACTGCACATATAGACAAATAACTTATTTCAGAAAGGCCCAGAAATGAGCTGGGGAAATAATTGGTTTATGGTTTTATTTGACATACAGCCACACAGGTTCTCACACCAGCAACCTACCGCTCTTGATTTAGACTTAAGCACATGCTTCCTCGCGCTGTCTGGAGCCTATAGTGATAAATATGTCTGTGCAGAAGCTGGAAACCCTGCTGGCATACGCAAAGATTTAAACACACAGACAGCAGTGAACATAGTGCTCCTGCAGTCTACAAGGAGCCAAGCTGTCACCTATGTGCCACCCAAGTGACTCCTTTACATTAGCTGACCCCAGGACAGCTGCAGGGGCTCCTCACAGCTCAATGCAAAGCCACAATGTGCACAAGCTGTTTAACAGCAAACCACAGGCTTGTATGGCCTCTAATAGGAAATAGTTGCAGTACTAGCTCACACTTAAGTGAAACAGCAGTTAGCCACATTCTCTGTCAGCTCTGATGCAGCACTGTGGACAGATAGTTCATAGTCTGAGCAACCCTGTGTGCTATAAAAAGAAACATGGGGGGGGGGGGAGAAAAACTCAGGAATGACAGTCTATCTTTCTCCCTCTCTCCTTTTTCCCCCCCCCCTGTGTCTTCCTGTGTCACCGCAAACAAAATGCTCCTACTAACTGTCTTGTTTTTCCCACCAACATATGACATTTATTACACATTATTGGTCATTCTGAAGGCAATTAAAGGCTGGTTCACACAGTTAAACCAAAGCACGCTCCTCCAGCATAATGACTGGTGTGTCAGATGTTTATGTGGGACTGCAGCTAGCTGCCTGGGGGAAGCTCTGTCGGCGAGGGCCTGGTCTGGCCCTGTATGGACTTGAACAGAGGAAATGGTCTCCGCTGTTGCGTGGTTGGCCAGCAGCTCTGCAGCCCTTCAAAGTCAACGTCAACAAACTGCACATATATGGCCTGGCCCAAGAATGAGATAACCGAGGTCTTTAGCAGTGAGGTCTTCGAGCTCCTTTCTAGTGAGGAGATTTTGTAAACAGCCTGACGTGCTCTGAATATCACAAAGAATTGTAGAAACACTATAAGGCTGAAACTCATGAACATTATAGAGTTGCAGAGCAGTTACATTTTATATATAACTATTTTATATTTATAGTTTAAAAGCTATTAACTGATCATGAGACTATCACATGACCTATAGACTATTTTTCATTCAAGTGACTATTATCACGCCAGTTATAATGTTTTTGGTTCCAGTGCACGAGGAGTTAAAGGTTATTTTCAGTTTTTCAGCCACCACAAATCAGCCTCTGCTTTTACACAGAGACAGTTTTTGGGGATGACATCATTAGGCGAGAAATCCAAGAAGAAAACTAGGGGGAAAAAAGCTCAGACTGGCCTAGAATTACCGACGCTGGGTGATGCTCATGCGGCATGTGGAGCTGCAGGGAGGGAACGCACAATGTGGAAACTATTCGACCAACTCAGACGTTGCCAAGGCTGGCTCACTTTGTATGCACACTCGAGGCACCAGCACAGAATCACCTTGCACACCATATCGAATCTGGTACGTTTGCTTGAAGTCAACTTGACAGGCTACATGTCAAATCCGAGAGAAGATAGAGCCCCCCCCCCCTGCAGTCATCTTCCAACACTTTACATATTCTGGGCTAATTCTGCATTGCTGATCTGTCCACTTACCCCAAGTTGAGGTCATTCTCTGTGTTGTCCAACCACAGGCGGACGGCTACAGAGTTCCCCTCTCGACACTGAGTGAAGATGTCATCCATGGTTATTCTGCAGTCAGATTCTCTTTTAAAATCAGGAACATGTAGCCTGCAAAAGCTGTAAAAAAAAAAAAATAATAATAAGAGTCTTTATAGCCTACAAAGAAAAGAGTTGTTTGATTCCTCCCAAACAAGCAGAGTAAGGTTAGAAGCAAAAGCCATTCAGGGTTTGTTTTATCTCCCAGAGGACTAAGCAGGTAAACAGATATCATTGTATTAGACTAGATTATGGACTTCAAAACACTAATGCCCAAGGATAAACTCTGTGTCTGAGCCTGGCTGTATTATATTTTGTCTTTCCTGGTCTCATAGTAGTCTTTAGCATTCATTTCCATGTTGGACCAATCACTGAGCCATTAGTTTTATAGGCTACAGATTGTTAGATGCGATATTAACATCATCCGCTGCACAAACAAACATAAACAATCTGTTAAATTCAATTATAAGGTCCATTTCCCCTTTGGCTCAATCTTTCCCTGTGGAATCGGATGGGCTGGCCCATCGTTTCACTATGAAATCTATTGTTAAAAAAGTCAAAGTGAACTTGGGACTACCAAAGCAAACTTTACCATCACAATGTAAACAAGGCAATTAAACAAACAAACACATTTTCAAAGGTCTTACCGGCTTCGACTAGATCGATTTCCTCTTTTATTCCTTTTTTCCCCCCCACGGAAAGTCCGCCGTCTCCTCAAATGTAAGGGCAGTGAAGAGTTGGTTTGAGTCCACGCCCCGCTCCTCGGAGCTGATGTGGGCTACTGCTGAGAAGTTAGGGGAGCTCTGCTACCGGCAGAGTCCCGGGACAGCCACACGACAGCGCCCCCTGCTGGAGGCAATGCGACAGTGCGACACCCAGCGGCCTGACACAAGAGGCCAAAAATACCCAGGTCAGGTGAAGAGGAGGAGGGATGTGAGCAGTTCTAACAGTGGTGGAATGTGACTATAGGTAAAAATACTCAAGTACTGTAGTCATGTCAAAAATGTAAATAACTCGCAGCCTACTTCACTGTACTTTTACAACTTTATATTACGCCACTAGCCTACATTTAATCTGGAAATATGTTTTAGTAACTTAAAGTAGTTTAGTACAACTTTTTAGATTTGTTTTCATATACATTTGTTTATTTACATTTGGTGAGTTAACATTTTTGGATAAACTCATCAAACTCATTAACTTTTTTAAATAATTAATTGGGTTGGCTAAAAATATGTTGTCATAAAACTGTTTTTTTTTTTTCTAAAACCAAGAAAGTTGATCTTTTTACAGCGACACTAGACATAATTGAGGCTTTCATATCTTTTGTAGGTGATGTTAAACTTTTCAACAGCTTTAAGTAGTCAGCTTCATCTTTAACATCTCTAGAATTAATCAGTAGGCTCATATTCAGCCAAAAGATACTTCTTTATGGTATCAGTTAACTTTTGATAAGGCTACAAGGTGTTGACAAAACTATTACAAAATGAATGCAGGACTGATGTTGGTGCTTAACTCAAGTAGCCTAAAGGATTTGATACTTGATCTTCCTCTTGTGTTAATCATTCGTCTTTATTTATAATCTGTCAGGACTGGTAATTAGTATCCATGTAATAAACGCCACGCCATAGAAATTGTATAAACATATTTTTAATGTAGCATCATTACGCTTTTGTTCCTAAATGGGTGACATCATTTCTTTTCAAAAGCATGGACAATTGAAACACCACCAAAGACACAACGACAGGGATGTGGTTAAGGGAAATTGATAGAACTAATTGTATTCTTTGTTTTCTTCACAAGCAGATCCGTGATTGATAGCATAATAACTAAGATGTCATTCAAAATAATCAGAACATCTGACAGAATTTAGTTTTGCTATGCATTGGTCCACTAGGTTGTATCAACAATAGTCTATGCTTCCAATCATGCTTTGTGTTTGATTACAACTGGTTTTACTCTAATTATATAAACACCTTTCTTTGCCAGCTAATAACAGTAAAATACCAAACCTCAAGACTGTACATCAATGATTTAAATAAATTGTTGAAATGCTTCCTTTCAAATGTGCCACACTAAACATTGTAATACATATTTTTATTTGAATAATACTTAATTTACTCTACAACCCTTTACTGTCACTTATGTTGGTTAGTCTGATATATCACGTCATCATCTTAGTGGATGAAGAATTACGCCATTGGGGGAAAACTGTTATGTGGTACATATATGTATATATATGTACTTAGTTGCAAAGAGATTTAAATGATGAGAGGAGAAAGAGGAGATGAAGTTATAAAGGATTTGCATCTACTAGAGCATGTTGCATACACCTCAACCTAAGGCTTAGTTAATACATCCTGCAGTAAAGGGCCAGGGCCCTATTGTGTTTTCAAACAACTGCAACAGGTTTGCAATGTAGAATTCACATAAAGGAACCTTTAAGCACGAATATTGTCATTTTTTATTTTGGCTCACCTAATTTCTGCATTTATTTTGCCACCCTACAGAAAATGATCAGTAATCAGTGTGTTTGAGTGTTCCTCTGCCTGAGCTCGCCTGAATGTTCAGAATCAGAGGCTTATAAAGTTTTGACCTGTAAGAAACTGCAATCACTAAAATCCTTTGCATCTTCCATTTCACCCACACATGACTTCATATACACCTGTTTTTGGCTTTTTTTACCAAACAAAACATGTTCAGTCGATCAAGAATTTCAGTGTCTGCATGTTGAATCTTGTATTTTTAAAACTGAGTCAGAAATGACTATAATATATTAATAACTAATGATGAGGAGATCACGGGGCACTGGACTACAGATACAAATGATTATTAATGAACGCATTGAATTTGTTAAGTGAAAAAGGAACGTCATGAAAGTTATTTTATTTCTATCAGAAGTGGACAGACTCTAATTTGAGGCCTTAGAGTTGCCAATTTGGTGAAGCAAAAAACAACAACACAGAAACAAAAGCTGAACATGCTCATATTTTTCACATGAGCCAGAAACATACGAGAAGAATTCAATTCAAATACAAACATTTATCATATATTATGTGTTATGCTGATATTCATTGTATTTTCTTTTTTCAGATCAGATCATAATGTTATCATCAGATATGGTTCTGATGGGTATATGTTGGAATTTGGGACATATCACTAACAGCTTGACCTCCTGACACAAACCCAAAGGGCATCATTACCGTCCTGACGGTGGGGTACCTCTGGGGCTTTCTCTAGGACTGACAGAGGTCTACTCTCTGTGGATATAGACACTGCAGGTGCAGCTACAGTTGCCACAGGAACATCTACTGATATGGATGTGGGTAGAGATGGCGTAAAAGCCGGTGCTGAGTTCCCAGACACAATTTGAGCACCAGCTACAAATGACTGAGAAAGTCCTGCTGTGTATGAGGGTCCACTGCCAGCTTCATTAAGCACTGACAGATTCACTGTTTCGGTCGCAGGTGTGAAAGGTGCAGCAGCTGACATTTTGACTTCGGTTGCTGCTGTGGATGCAGGCATGACAGCATCAAACCCAACTGGAATATCTGATCCTACTGGCTTGAATACTGAGCCAAAGGCTTCTGGTGAGACATCAGTCAGTGGAGGCGCTTGCAGGGGTGGAGATAGGGCAATGGGGGTTTCAGACGCTGGCGAGGCCTCCGTGGCAACGGGCCCAACAGATGCTAAAGCAGCAGCCTCTGCTGCCTTGGCATTTTCTGCAGCCTTGCTCTCAATCTCATCCATTCGCCGCTGCATCATACGGGGCATTAGCTGCACGTAGGTGCCCATCAGCCGGTGGTTCGAGCGAATAAGCTTCCCAGCACAGCTGTCCACACAGCGCTCCTAAACCAACACAGCAAGGAGAGATGATGAGGGTATATTACAGTTTGTAATCAAGGTGCACTATATGGCTAAAATATGTTTGGATGTTTATTCATGGCTTGGACTGGAGAGTTGTGATTGACTCTAGAGACTAGAGAAAACAGCGTGCAATGAGACTTTCCTTTCTAACAACCCTGATGTCAGCAGTTTGGTGAAGGACAATTTTTACATGACAAATGTTATATTGACAGAAATAGCATTTATATAAAAGACGGTGGGCCAGTTGCAATAACATTCTGACTTTAAACCCTCAGCACAAATGTATGCATGTATAATTATTACCAAACTATTGTCTTACCTCGTCCATGGTGAGGTTTCTGTAGTTAAAGTTGCTGGTGCATCGCTGGAAGCAGATTTCAGTCATGCGGTTGTAGACTAGGAGGAAATCCTTGAGCTGCAAGGGACACAATCATATCACCAAACACATTTTAATTTGTAGTAAAGTACATTGTAGTAACCACTGCATATTAAAGTCACTTACATTTCTCAGTTGCTGATCGGGATCCATCATGATTACTATGAAGCCGCTGACTGCTTAGCTACAATGCTAACGCTGGTCAGTTAATGACAAAAATAACAGTTTCCGGTCCTTGTTGTTGTCTGATGTTATAGAAAGTACAATACCACAAGATGTAATGCACCATCCAGCTTTAACGATTCCCCAATAGCACTCACACGTTAACTAATTCAGGACATGTGTCAGAATGGGTATGACATTCACATGCGCGCTGCCATGATTGTGCCGAAGATCGTTTACGCTCAGGACTCAGGAGACTACTCACTTGGTGGTGAAAAAAATAGATCCTTTTCCGGTTTTCGAAAAAGCATGTCTATGTGTTGGGATTTTACTCTTTTTAGGATTCCGTTGGCCCGAAATACTTAAAATATTCATCAATTCATTTGAAATCTTGACAAACCTTTAACATTTAGTCGTTTGAGAGCCCTTAACACCGTTTAAAGTCTAATTCAATACATTTCACCCATGACCCAAGGACTCTTTAAACAGCCTAACCTGATGTTCATTCTGTAAAACCCGTCAAACCCATAGACTGTAAACCCAGTTTTGGTCAAACCTCATTGCCATTGCCTCAATTCATACATCCTAATACTTTCCCAGACTTAATTCTGAGAAAACTCAACGTAAAATGATAACTAGTTCTGCTCATAGCTCCGAACCCCTCACCAAACCAGCACATTTATGTATCATGGTTAAGACTCATGGCACAATGCACACTGAGAAGAGCGAGCTTATCGTGTTACTTGAGCTTGAACAGTTGAGTTATCAATATCCCTCCATTTCCCATCACGTATGAACAAAGCCACTGAATTTTAAGTTGTTTTGCTCAAAAGCAGCGATTAACATCACAGGCTAATGTTATTTAGCCTACAATTCCTAGTTTTAAACATACCATGTAGCTTACAGGCCTATATTGGACAACTACAACAACATGGTTGTTCAAACAAGTTAAACAGTAGTTTACCTTTAGTTTAGTTTCCTGAACTGTCAATAACAAAGCAGAAGTAGCCTGACCTTTAAGTAAGACAAAAAGTCCCCAGAGCTGCTCTATGTGATGTCAAAACCTACAGGCCATAACTTTAAAACAAACTAACTGATTAAATTTGGTTAGTTAGTTAGTCTTTATTAACTGTTTTTGATACTGGACATTAGATTACTTCCAAATGCACTTTTCATGTGAAAACATTTATCCATAACATCTGACAAGTTAAAGCTGGACATATTAAGAAGCTACAACCACAGCAGTAATGTCAGTACTGGCCTACTTCTGGCCTTCCTCTCTGTGATACTTGGTCACCTGTGTAGCTCTACAGGGGAATACAGTCAAGACACAAGAGAACAAAAGGAGGACATTTGAGATAAAAGACAGAAGCATTTCCTTTATTTGATTAACCCAGACATCTGAAGTCTCATACTGCTTTATGATACACTATTAAATACTTTTTGCACAGACAGAGGGCTGTGAATGACAGGAGGAAACTTCAACATACAAAACTGTAAATGGTAGAATAAAATATTTTGCTTTTGCCCTTTCCAGTATCTCATCTGCCGTTGCAATATGCTTGAAAATGTAATTTGCGTTTTTGGAGAAAAAATAAATTTTTATCATGATGTCACCTAAATAACCTAAAGCGAAAAACTGTGCAAAGACATTTTATTTTCCATGCTTTGAGTAATATTTTGATAGTTTCTGAGAGAGTTGTGTTATATCTGTGTGTTCTTTTGTGTCGTTTCCATCCTGTGTGTGACAGTTTGATTCAGAGCGCTTGAGGCCAGAGATAAATCCATACAGGAAGTAGGCCATGGACAGCTATTGAAAAACTGTCAAAAAAAATGGTGAGTGTGTGGCATGTCTGTGACTGCGAGTTCACTTCTAAGCTCAGTTACCTCAGTGGGCTGTGACTTCTCATTCTGTTTCGGGATCACAGAGAAGCAAATCATCGTTTAAACTGTTAGCATGCTAGATCATTAGTGCGATAGATTAGAAAGTGAATCAATTGATCATTACTATGACAAGGAAGAAATCCACTGTGGGTGATGTTTGTACAATAAACCCACAAGAGGAAAATATATAATATGTCCCACTCATAGCTTTCCCCTTTTTCACTTCTTACCTTTAATTTCTTCCATGTGAACCATATGGAATGAAAATCAGATGTTTAAGTGTCCATTTATTTACAGTAAGAAAGAATCACCTCTTTTGGCTCAGGAATCCCCTACAGCATGGAAAAAAATTGTAGGATTTATTTTCCTCACACCTTCGGTATGAGACATCTTTTCTTTTGTCTGTAAATGATCTTCCGTGTCCTGTGATGATTTTAAGTTTTTCCACAGCTTTCATAATAATTCAAACATTTCCATATACAGCCCTTGACCTCTAAATGTCACGCACACACAGTTTCCTTTCTCTTTTAATCCTCTACCTTTATTGCATCATCTGAAGAGAAAAGGTGCATGTTTGTTCCTCTGTTGCTCAATGTGTAGACATCAAGAGGTTGTTTGTTTGCATGAAAAAGGAAATTGCTCAACTGTGCAGAGCTCATTAAATATTAAAGCTGCATCTTTAAAGACACAAATGTAGAAAAAGTGTTTGTTGGCTTTTTGAGGCGGCCTGTTCAGCTCAGGCTAATCTTGTTGGACATCATCATGACTAAAGCTACCAATAAAATGATTTGTGCAACTTTCCTCAGCCTTTGAAGTAAGTGCACATACATTCCCAATACTAAACTCCATTCTTTCCTCACTTTCTTCCCTTCCTTTCCTCACTTTATTCATGTGATCGTCCTCTCCTCTTATTCCCTCCCAACTTTCTTTCTCCCTCTCCACATTCATCCCCCATTCTCTCTCCATCTCCTCTGCCTCCTGTACTATCTGTTGACTGTTCAGGTAGATGCTACTGTGGGACACCATGGTGCTGGTGTCTCTGGACGGAAGGTGAGCGTCCAAGTCTGCCTCGACCACCATGAAAGCATTCACAGGGTGGACTGTCAGCTGATCTTGAAGGCTGTTTCGTCCCTGATGCTTATGGCGATGCCTCTTCTTGTGTTTCTTTGCCAACTTCAGATCCAGTGAAGCATAATTCAGGTCAGCCTCTAAAGTCTGGTTGCAGAAAATGACAAAATAGGTATGAAATGTTTCTATCTAGGTGTAAAGATTGACAGACAAAAGTCTTAAAAATATTGTATTTAAGTGTAGATCATGTGGCAGCATGTTTGTGTGCGTTTCTGTGTGTGTAGTTATTTTTAGGACATGTTGTGCTGAAGTGTGTACATCAGTTCACACTTTGTCAGACCACAACACCTATGGTGTCAGCTGGTTTCCGTTTTACAAGCAAACCCGTCAGTAGAACTCCCAAGTGGTCTACAGGATATATCAGTTTGCATGCAGACCAGCATATATATATAAATAGTACCAGTGTGAATGTGAGAACAAAAGCCCCTAAAATATAATTTTATAAAAACACTGGTACCAGAATAACCCAAATATTTTTATGCCATAGGTTGAGATTTTAATTAAACTTGTAAACAGCTCAAAAACATATTCTTGAATGTCATCTTTAGTGCATGTTATAATCACTACATTTCGCCCTCTGTATTTGGGTTGCAAACATTTCAAAAGATTTATGTATTGACCCATGCAGTCTCGACAATATCCCATTAGCAATTCAACATAGATCAGTAAAAAAACATCAAGGTCAAACACTCAGAAAATGTAACTTGCACAACGGATGTAGAAAAATGTAATTCTAATAGTTTGAAAAAACTCTACTCATGCTGTCAAATGTTGGTAAAAACTATTCATTATAAGGCACCAAGCTAAATGACTTACAATAAAAAAATAAAATTACACACGTCTTCACTCACAAAAGCTTGAAACCTTCAAAAAGACAATGTGCCGCTGATCCCTGCCGTCTGCACACATGTTCAAAGTTATTACCTTCATACGATCTCTTGTGTGCTGCATGGTCATCATCTCATAGCAGCCCCCAACAGACCCTGATCCAAAAAAAACAACAACGCATAAATAGTTTTTCATTCTAAGTGGGCATACATACATTGAAAAAATGAATTTAGTTTCTCCTACAATAAGATTTCTACACTGATTTATTTCACTACGAACAATGCCACATAACATTTGAAAACTAAGGGCTTAAAAGAAGAGATGCAAAAGTAAACAGTAATTTTCTAAATGCTTTGAAAAGCTTTCTGAAATGTTCAAAGGCCTGCAGATCCAAATAAACTTAAGATTGTGTATATCAACCATGCATGACTCGTATAGAAATGGTTTGTCTATTTTACTTTTTATGATGTCTTTTATTTAAACTCAGAAATCATTGCGAGCATAACCCTCATTTACAATGACATTGCGCATATAAAAAAGATAAACAATGAATATATATATATATATATATATATATATATATATATATATATATATATATATCCTAAGAATACACTTATTTTGTATACACTTATTTTGTAGCATTACTTATTTATAGCATTTATTTATATTTATTGCATCCCATTAATCCAGCCATCCAGATATACCTAATAATTCACTTTTTTTAGTCTACATCTGTAAATTTTGTAATTACTGTACATAGCACAGACTCTTGCACTTTCTGCTTATTTGCACTTCTGGTGAGATGCCAAACCTCATTTCGTTACTCTATACTTGTATATGTGTAATGACAATAAAGTTGAATCTCATCTCATCTCATCTCATATTTATATATTTATATCACAGAGAAAAAACATCGGTTAAAATAAACATACAATTAAAAAGCAAAGTTAAAATCCAAACAATTACAACGGGTGCAATCAGAAGTTAAGAAGTTCATAATTAAGGATCTAAAATGTCCCTAAGGAACCAGTGCCTTGATCTTTAAAGTGTTTAGTCGTGAATTCCAAAGCGATGGTGCAAAGAAGCCAAAAGCAGATCTTCCAAGCTCAGAATGAGCTTTAGGAACCAGGGGCCGGGTTCACAAACGTTCTCTTAAGATAAAACTTCGGAAGAATCTGTATTAAAAAGTATAATATGAATATGCATATGCTTATATGTATATTGGGTGTGAAATCATTGGCTTAAGGCCTGAAATGTTATTTCAATACATTATAATAAGCATGTTTGTCAACATTATTGCTGTAGAAAACAGTTGGGGATTTTTATGTGCTAATCATATTTATAATTTACATAAAAAAATAACTTTGGGTAAAGGAAAATATTACAACATTAGTTAGTTTCTTTGGGTTAAATTAACTGTTAATTGTGCTATCTTATTTTCAAAGACGTACACCAAAAACAACAGTGGCAAGCTAAAATGAACAATAAAAGTTAAGACAAATTTAGTGAAAACTGAAATCGGTTGTCTAAAATAAATGAATTTAGAAGCTTTCATTTTCACTCGGAACAATTTTAGGACAAGTGTAGTGTGATCTTAAAGTTACGAAGAAAATAAGGAGGAAATTTAAACTTTGCTTTCAAGAATCTCATGTATTCTTAAGTTTTTCCCTAAGAAAGTTAAGAAAATAAATAAGCACTTTTTCCATAAATATCGAGACAAAAGTTAAGAAGTGCTCCTGTGGCACCTATAACCAGCTACTCATCACCAAACAGGACTTCATGTTTGAACTTTTATTTCAAAAGCAGTTAAGCACTTAATCAGCACTTAAGAAGTTTTTTTTCCGGCCCCACGAGCATAAGCCAGTCATTAGACCGTGTGTAATGTACTCCAGACATACATGCAGACATACACAATGGCATTAAAAGACACGTTTTTAATTTTGAAGATGAAAGAAAGCTGGCCTGAGCTCACCTTGTCTCTCAGTTCTGATGTTGCCATAGATTGGATTTTCCTGCTGCTCATGATGATTGAGGGAATTTTCCTGCTGCTCATGATGATTGAGGGAATTTTCCTGCTGCTCATGATGATTGAGGGAATTTTCCTGCTGCTCATGATCATTAATGTAATTAAAATATTGCCCTTCATCCTGTGACAGCCTTCCAATATGGAGGAAAAGAATCACACATAAGATGTCACAATAACAGGTATATTTGTTAGATAAGAAGAAAAGTGATATTTGATAATAATTGAGAACCAAGATTTTTTGGACTGAATAAAAGTAGCTGAACATATATAAGTGATTTAACCTAATTGAAAAAAAACCAACTAAACAAACCTTTCTCCTTGGTAAATGTGTCGGTAGCAGCACGTCTCTGTGTCTGTTTGCAAAACAGCAAATAATAGACAACTGTAAGCGTACATAGTTTAGAGTGATTGGTGGTGATTAAAATATATATATTTTTTTGATAATTTGACTTAATGTAACAGAACCTTTGCACAGTGTGGCTCTCAGCCTAATGCAGAAGAAGACATTAACACACACAGAGATCAACAAGGCCAGAGAGAGCAGCACCAGCCCTACCAGTTCAGTCTTACACTCTGAAAGAGAAACAAAAAAACAAATATTAACACTTCTAACAGTTTCACTGCTTACAGATGTCTGCAATGATACTCTCTGACGTTAAATTCAACAGTCGACAAGTTTAATCCTCCATCTCTGAAACACTGTATGGAAGTCCCCCGTGTATGTCTCGGTAACAAACAGAAAAGATGAAAGAGTTTTCAAATGCGTCACCACTGGCGATGAAATCAAATGTTTCTATGAAAACTCTGATCACTGACCTTTTTAAGATACAAAACAAAATCAGAGGAAAAACTAAGAGCTGCGGCCGTTAATACAGCCAGTTTAAACTGAATATATCTACCATACGTAACATCCAATAATTACGTTTTAGAAAAATAATAAAGGGTGGATTTGTGAAATCTGAATAAACCATAACCATGATTGTTATACGTGCAACATCACTCAAATAATTCTGTCCTGAAATTCATTCTTCCTGGTATAACAGCGGTTTTATAGAAATCCTAGTTTCCTAGTTTAGCTGTGGCACGCATGGCAGAATGAACAAACATTACGTATCATTAACTTCCCAGGTTTTGTCTGGACGCTACCCTACAATAAACAGATTTGTATGCCGTTATATTTCCCTTTTGTTCTTGTTTTGAAAAAGGATTAAGCTTTTCTGTCTATCCAGTAAAAATCTTCATGTAGCTAATTAATCAGAGGGACACATTTACAAACATAAAGAGCATAAAAAACAAACTGATACTCAAGTTTGAAAATCTGTGTAATTTGAAATTTCCAAAAGCGGTTCAGACCCTACCTGTCATACCCCAGCCGTCTTGGACAAATTAGTTGTCTATCCGACACACACAATAGCTTTCAGCTTACAGGGCACGGAGGTGTGCTACACTGTAGTCTATTTTTACCTCGCCTTAGTTACCCCTCTCTTATCACAGCGCTTTGAATAGACACATGCACAAACATGCTGCACTTCAGTTACAAACAGGAAACTTTGTAACCTCATTCTGAGGCACAAAGTCTCATCGTGATGTACTATAGGGTTTCACATGGAAAGGAACCGCACTGCTATTTAGCTGTTAAAAATTACACATGTTAGCAACTTCAGTTTCTAATTTAAAAAAGTGTACATTTCAAAGAACAACAAACAAAAAAAGAGTCTCACTTTTAGACCGAAAATATTCCATACACTTCCGTCAAAATAGAAACATTTTCTGAGACAAAGAAAATGAATAGATTTTATTATCTGAGCCCTTATTTGTTGGACATAATTTTTGATCTTACATACCAAACCTAGCCTAAATTTAAAGTGTGCTTTGGTTCCACTTGTGTTAACCATCTTTTCAAGTTCACAGATTGCACAAACACACACATTCATTCAACCTTTATTTAAATCTTGCAAAAAAAAAGACATGGTTGGTTTGGAAACAGTGATAGATTTATTATGTAAAGATCTACGTACAGGGTGTCATATCCTTTGTACAACAACAATTGACGTCTCAATACACACAGCACAGCGTGGTTTTGTGGCTGTGGTTGGAAAATTGTATGAAAAAAAATCTGTCTCAAAGTGAACAGTTACCGGTACTTAGAAGAGATAATGCTATCTGTGTGTACGTGTGTGTGCGTGTCCAGTGTTGGTGGAAAATGTTTTTACTCAGAAACCGAATTGAATTGATGAAGTCCATTTAATTTCGACAGCTACCGGTATATAAAGATCAAAGAGAAAGTTCACACACCAGAAAGAAAAAACCAGACGACTCAGATTTGCCTCAGTGTGTCCATTTCTATTTCCTATTTGTCTGTTTGATGTTATAAAGTGGTTGTTTAGTTTCTTCAGCCATTTGATCCATGTGGTCTGCGGTTTAAGCCCTTCAAAGTGTCACTTTGTGGTGGATGTGGTCAGTTAATTTACACTTATCAACTTTGAACAGCTATAAGAGGAACTTTCCCATTTGCATTCAGGCGATAAGCAAATCCATAGTTAGGATGGGTCTTGATTTTTAAATGTTAGAATGGACAATCATTTATAAAACATTGAAGAGTTCATGCTACTCTAATCCTAACTTTAGAGTATCATTTTTTTCCCATTGTTTTACTGGTGGCTGGTTGTAATGTAGTCCTACCCCTGGATGGCAACTAGATTGCATCTAAGAGCTGTTGCTAACTGCCATTAAAAAAAAAAAAAAAAAGAAGAAGAAAACATGAGTGCCATGTGCCTACAAAACAGCTGTGATGCTGTGAGATTCAGAAACGTAGAAAAATGAGTGACTCTTGCAGCCAACAACAAGTTCTCTATGGAACTCAGACCCCCCCAAAAAAGTTTGAGGTCGGAGCAAGTGTTCAAAAAAGCAAAACAAAATAAAACAAGCACCTGCAGAGGTGTAGTCAGAGTCAAGCAAAACCGTCTTTTATTTTTTATATGACACACTTTATCACCAATTTAAAGACATAAGGAGTAAAGCATAAGCAAGTATTTTAAAAACAATAGCATCCCCAGGAAAAAACACTTTTTTTTTTTGCAAACACTTGCACAGTTGCCTGCAACTGTGTTAAAACAATTACAATCGAGAACAATACACCTTGTTATAATTCTACATGTTACTTACACAGGTTGAAGCTTTCACCATAGTCCAACATTACTACATTTAATTATCCGCTCCTGTCGTGTTTTATTTTAGGCATGAAATGATATCGTTTGGTTTCACACGTCCATGTTAGTCACAGAGTCGCACCTTGAGGTGGGGTAAGGCTGTGTGTAAATGTCACGCTGTCTTGCTGCAGTATACTTGACAGGAGGAGGAGGGGGTTTGAACGGAGGAGGTAGATCCAGCCTGCAGAGCAAGAGATAGAGAGAGAGAGAGAGACAGGGAGAGAGCAGAATTATCGACTGGTGGCTAGAAAGTTAGCTGCCTCTAGGATGCATGCAGATATTAAAGTTCTTATGCATCTTTCTGACTCGTAGTTTTTCATGTTTTTTCTAGTCATTGGGTGCATGACCCTGAATAAATGTCAGCAGGTAAACCGGATGGCTAAGTGGAAATGTACGGGGGTTTTACCTCTTCTTTATGATATGTCTCCTGTAGAGAAATCCAGTCGCAGCGATCACTACCAGCAATAGAATGATTATTAACACCAACAACAGATGACTGCGGACAACTTTGGCACCTAAGAAGCATATCCAGAGAGGGGGGAAAATGTCATTATGGAGGACAGCAACTGCTAAATGAAAGTGTCTAAGCTATAGATCAGCTAACTTTGGCCAAACCTGTCAGATTCCAAAATATATTGATAAATCTGACACTAGAGTGGGGAACTTTTTGCATCTGTAGCTTAAAGCATGCCTTCCAACCCTCCCCCTCACTTTATTGGTGTGCAAACCCAGAGCTTGAACTTCTTCTAACAATATTTCAACCTTGAAATCAAGCCTCATTGCTCGATCAGGAAAGAAACCAAGTTAGAGAATCAAGCCTTGAGAAAAGGGGGGGGGGGGGGGGCTCTGTGTAGCCTCACAATGCAGTTGAGATGAAGATGGTAGAGATAAAAAAAAAAAAAGGTTACGATCCAGCTCTAGTTTGGATTGGGCCTTGCCTTAAGAACATTTTGATATATTCTCTGTCTTTTTCCCCCCTTTAAAACCCCTTTTATTGTTTTCTTGCCGTTGCTGCTGCTGCCTACTTTGACTTGTCAGCCACAAGCAAAGCTAACCCAGTTTAAGCAATACTCAGAGCGAATAACATTTCAAAAACAATCTAAGAGTTCCTCTAGAATACAATTTGGGGCAAACCAAGAGATACTGGATGACTCAGGATCGCAGAAAAATACTATAAATCTCTAGCAACAACTGTCTTTCCTGGGAGAGTTGCATTTATACAATCCATGGACTAATGACCTGTGAAATATGAGGTCATTATTATTACCTTCATTCTCAGTGACCATGGTTTTATTTCCAGTGCTCATGGTTGAGGTTCCATCAGGGTGTCCAGTGCCCCACATAGACTCATTTCTGTTCTCCTGTGTTGAGCCGAACAACGTGCTGCCATAACTTACTGTTGTGGATAGATCTCTGGCCACTGAAGTGGACGCGTTCAAGCTGTCAGTCTGGTTTAACTCCTGATAGCTGGAATTGCTAAAGTGATGTGGGTCAGGGGTTGATGTGACACTGACATGTGTGTCATTTATAAATGGGGTTGACACATTGGTGGGGTGTGAATTGTTAAATGTTAAATCTCTCATGGTCCATGGCAAAGTGTTGTTTACAGTTGGAAGCCCAGTGGTCGCTGATGTGGTTAAGTTGCTGTCTTTTGTTTGGATCAAACCCGTCTCAGTTCCATTAGATTGTGGTGACAGTGTGACAAGATCTGAAAGATGTAAAAAAAAAAAATGGTACTTCAATAAGCATACTGTCAGCAACAATGTCCTGTTGTGTCATTGCCAGACTGAATATACCAATGGACAGCGTCCCTTGGCCTCCTTCCATTGAACCAGATGAAGCCATAATATCTCGGAGACGGGCACTGACATATTGCAAATTTACCACCAGAGTCTGCAGGTAGGTCCCTACTGATTCCACTAAGTTATAGATGAAACGGCAAAAGGTGGTACAGTCCACAGCAGAACAGATTCTTATGTTAATTTAAAGCAGACACTCTTGTGTTAGTGTTCTTTATGTTTTCTTTAGCCGTTATAGCATCAAATAACTCAATCAAAAGAATTGATCACAAAATTGGTGATAATAACTATTATGACAATACCAGGTTTGAGAAAAAATTATCCAACATTGAGAATCAAGTTTGACCCAGGTGTCCCATCTGTAATCATTGAGGAGGCGGGGTTTATGACATATAGATGTTGTGTTTCAGGTGTAATGCAGCCAATCGCCTCTAGCTGGGGCTTTATCTCAGGTTAACAGGCCTTCTCTCTCAGCTCTACTGTCGCAAAGTGCCACACATAATAACAATTTTGTGTTTGAATAGTATGATAAACTGTTTCAAATAACAATAAAACAGGTCAGAAACAGTCTGGTTATCGACTGTGTTTAGCTGTGTGAGGTAAATTGAAAACTATTTTGACTCACTAGGAACATGCTCTAGAAAGTACTTTAAAAATGCCAGTTATATCTGTTTGGTAAGATAAAGCCGCAGCAGATTAGCTTAGCTTAGTATGAAGAGTGGAAACATGGGAAAACAGTTACATCTGGCTTTGTCCAAAGGTAACAAAATCACCATCTCAAAATTTTTATCTAGTTTGCCTTATCCAAACAAACTCAAATGCAAAGTCATAGTCATAGTTTCACATTCAGTTTTTTGCTACATGTTTTCTTTACGAGGTGTAGTTACATATTTCACGGCTTCAGGGGGAAAAAACACCATAACAAAACTTTAGGTGTTTGAGTTTTTACATGTCAGGAAATTGCAAACTATTTTTTTAAAGCCTCACATTGGGAGTCTGAATAAAGAGAGAGAAGTATGAATAATGCACCACATCACTTTAAAATACCCAGATCCCAGTGATACATCATTAAAACATGGGCCGAGTTGGCATTTATGAGCACCCAGTGAATAATCAATGGGTGAAAAAAAAGGCAATGGGCTCATTCAAGAGGGTGGACAGTGACGCTATGGGCGCTGACCCTGAAGAAAAGGTGTTGGCCGGAATTGCAAAGTCAGCATTATTGTGCAAATGTATTTCTTCATCCATTGTACTTCACTTTATTTCTCATATTTATTTTCTACCATGCATAACCCATTCATAAATACGGACAGAACCATCAATAATCTGAGTTAACATCTACTATAAGCCACAGTTGAGGAATTGAAATGTGCCAACTCTGCTAATTTACAACTTTATTCAATGGAGTCCAATTCTACCTTGCAATGGGATCCAATACACAACGGTGCGTTGGTGCCTGTGTCAAGTATTTTATTTCAGCCATTCATTGTAGCTGCACTACTTCAATCCGTCCAACAGATTGTGCTCTTACCCTTGTCATGATATAGAGACTTAACTGTGTTTTTGTTCTTGCCTTGAGGTTTGAAAGACAATAGAGTGGAAGAGCAGGAAGTGTCTTTATGCATGTGTGGCTTTTGTTTTTTTTTGTTTGTTATATATTGAAACTCTCATAACTAACACATTTACAGGACGTGAAATCAGTCAAGCAAGGATTATTTTCCAGCCACAGCAAAGCCCACTAAAAACACTACACCAAGTTTTGTATCACCAGTGGGGGCATAAAACTTGAAGTTTGGTTCTTTTACAATTATAAGACCTGCTTTAGTTTCGCTTAGTCCAGTATTAACCCTAAATCCCACAGTGAAATTGATTTGCAGCAAATAATTGAGAATTTCACTCTGAAAGTGCAGTAGCACCCAGTTGATTCATGTTTCTTGTCCCATGTGTTCTCAAAATCCTCTGAATCTGCTCCTTTAGCTAATTAAAAAAATTGAGTGAGCTGCAGTTTAATAACAACAGTCAAGTATCAGCTCTCCTGTCCAGTGCAGTTTATTAAGTCATTCAGCCTCCTGGGACCTCTATTTGATTTTTTTTTTAATCCAACCCTGAGGAAAACGCTGAAATGGAGGAAAAAAAGAGAAGAACAGATGCACAACAATTTGAGAAGCTCACCTGTACTTGAGCTTGTGGTTTCGGTGAGCACTGTGATGATAAACTCTTTTTGCATGGTTTGGTTTCCTGTGTTGACAGTCAGTGTATAAACCCCTGTGTGAGCTTCAGTTACCTGCCAAAGCTGCAGAAATTCATTCACGGACACCACCGTCTTGTTCTGGGGCAAAACAGGGTTATGTAGCATGCAAATGACATACATATTGTAAGGATGGTTTGCATTATTTTCACCACAGAGGTAACAAATCAATTCAACTATCAGTGACTGGAACAGATTTTGCTTGGATTGCATAAATGTTCTGATTTCCATTACCTTGGTCCATGTGTACTGAGCATCTGAGGGCGCTGTGCAGTTAATGGACACATTTCCACCAGTATGGACCTCAACAGTGCTATCAACATCACACTGTATTGCATCATCTAATGGAGAGAAAATGTAGCTTAATTTGAATCGACAACAACAGGAACATGTACAGTAAAATGAACACACTGGGTAGCTCTATCAGCCAAAGATTGTATGAACACCTCCTGTAATTATGCTCTGCCTCCATATGGTCGTAACACACCTACAATACACTGAAAAGAAGGTAAGGGTGTATTGTGTCTGTGTTATTGTACGACTACGTGACATTGACCAGAGGAGAAAATAGGCCAAACATAAAAGCATCACGGCAGACAAAGCCCTTAGATGTGGCCTTGCATCATTACAATGAACATTTAATCAGTGTTAAACAACTTGTGAGAGGAGCTCTGATGCAACTCAGTATGAAATTAAATTTATACAACAAAAAATTTGATAAAATATGTCTGCACGTCTTACTGACACAGATATAAAAATTACCCTCCAATCTATTAAAAAAATTCCGAATTGGGTATCGGCGAGTATGCCTCTCATTTCACTGCGTGGTTGCAAAAGTGTTAGGGAAATTGTCATGTTATAATAACTAATAATAACAATATGATGCTAGGAGATAGTGTAATATCAGTCAAGTCAGCAATTTGTGTTTTTCCATCAATATTATGTATAGTTTTTATTTTATTTTGTTGGTATCGGAGGGCAAAATGGTATCAGCCAATACTCAAATTAAGTTACTGGCATCAGTCATGAAATGAAAAACAGTTGTTTTTTTCAAATGTAAATCCTACAAAGCTGTCTGGTTGAGGAGTGTTTGTATTGCTCTGCATGTACTTGGTCTTACCTTTGATCTCTAACTTTGTTTCTTTCCTGATCGTGCCATGAGGGAACATCGTAAGGTCACAAATATAGATACCACTGTCCCATTTAGAAACTGTAGAAAGCTGTAAAGAGCCCATTGACTCCTTCTGAGTATGGATGCTGACATTAGACCAGAAGTAATTGACTCCATAATCTCGGCTGTACAGCGCCAGTTTTATGTCTTTGTTTTGCCTTTTTTTCCATTCAATGCTGATAATCTTGAGATCAGTATTTCTTACAGTGCAGGGTAAAGTAACATTCTGGCCCACTAGTGCCTCCATCTCTTCATGATGAAACACCTCAACATCCTGGAGCCCTGTCAAGCACATACGACAGCACTGGAATCAGGGAAAGAGTGAAGGGGGAAAAAACACACTTAACGCTGATGTTACAGCCTGCTCGGATGCAGGCAGACAAAGTTACACTGAGGCAGTCTAGAAGCCAATGCACATTTCAAACCCAATGATGAATATCCCATCAAGGCTGGATTATTATATGAAAAACACCACATGTGTACCAGGATTACCTTGTATCATAGAGGCAAGGAGCAGGAGAGAGGAGGCCAGTCCCAACGCACTTCCAGCCATGTCTGAGCTCCCCAAACTCATTACAATCAATCAGGTTGAATCTGTTGAGGGACTCTTGTAAAAGGCAGGAACAATAGACTGCTAACTGAGGTTAAAGAGTTGTGCAGAGACTGTTGAGCCAGAGAACCGGGTGACATATCTGAACAGGAAGCCACACTGAGACATGAGTGAGTCATACGTGCAGCGCTGAAGCTTTGCGGTGTAAACGTCTGGTTAAAAAAGGATTTGCAATAAACATCTTTGCTCTGCTTATCATCTTTTTTTCTTTAAATAAACTAACAAGATGCTGTACTGAATCTTGAAACACAAGACTGAAAGATTAAATTATTTATTTTGAATTACCTCATTTCTTAAATTGATTAAACATTGAACATGCACTGGTTGAACAACAATAATCCACTTGGGGGTCACTGAATTGTCAGCTGTGATTCTGTACTTTAGTTTGTCTTTTTTACAAGGTGAACCATTAAAGAGAGAAAAGACTGCCCCTTATATTGACTTCTAGCTTGCTTATATATAACATTGCACTGATCTAAGAGTAGATTGGGAAGAACTGATTTTTTTTCTGCCCTCTGTGCTTGTTAGCAGGGATGTTACAGAGCAGTAAAACCCATCACGCCTGCACATGGATAAACAGATGAAAAAGAACATTACATTTATAACGGGAAGGTCTGGCAAATGTGATTTTATTACATCCAATTATCATTTGTTTACCTGTTTCTTGAGAGTCATGCAATAATATTCCATTATGACGTTATATCACAAGATTGGATTTGTAATGCCTTAAATGATTATTAATTTGAATCTTACTGCAGCTTTGAGAGTACATTTTCTATGATTACATCCAGTAAGCACTGATAGTAAGAATAAATTGATAAATATGTTTGGAACTTCAAACCAGAAACGATCTCTTTGAGCACTTACAGTTCCTTTGCTTAAGTTTTCTACCACCTTGAACTTATCTTGAATTTGTCAAACTGCAAATGAAAGTGTTTTTTATATGGGTTGTATATGACAGAAAAACACATATTTTGAAGAGGGGGATAGTGCGGGGTGTTCATATGTTTTTTTGTTTTTTTAATGCAGTGCTTTTCTGCAAAACCTAGAAGTAAAATCAGATGCAACCTTTAGGTAAAGTTGTGTATCATATAGAACTATGATGTTTGGACTGATCTAATGAAACCGTAAAAAAGCCAAAGAAATTTTTGGAATTACAGTGTATGACCCTGTAAAATGTAGAAAATTGACTATGGGGTTGAAACTTATGTAAGGTATTGCATAGGCTAAGTCATTTCTGACAACAAGTTAAATATTGTTTAAAAAAAAATGTGCTTCTTGGATTCTAGTTAAATATTTGGATAATAATGTTATGTCAAGACACTTTACAAAAGAGCAGGTCAACTTTACGCTTTGTTGTTTAATGTTACAAAAGAGCAGGTACAAGGCTGAACTCTTTGTTATATTATCTATAAAGACCCAATATTTATCCACCATGAGCACTAAACATTATTTAGCAAAGTAACAGTGGCAAGGAAAAACTTTGTTTAAGAGGCAGAAACCTTGAGCAAAACCAGACTCATGTTGAACAGCCATCTGTCGAAACTGTGTTGGGCTTGGACAGTGGGATAGGGGAAGATGCAAGAAGAAGGAGAAGAGACAAACAGAGCAACATCAATATATGTTGAATGATTTTGAAGGTTATTGTCCCAGAGCTGTTTTTTTAAGCACTTTCATTAGCCATTAAAAAAAATGGCAAACTCAACTGTGAGTTCGTCTGAAGATTTTGTTATCCAAACTGCTTTTCAACCTTTAATTCTTTCATCTCTTTTTCACATATTCTAAGTTCTCCCCTTCATTTATAATGAATAAACTCTCAATCGACCTCCCAGTGCATTTAGATATGTGATACTTTTTACTTATTCCCTGTGACCTTTATAACTCAAATTAGAGCTTAGAGGAGTGACTGCCATCCTAAGAGAGATTTCCATCAGTATTCTGTCAGTGTTTTATCAAAGTGTAAGGGGACCTTGCTGCATTGCTCCTTTTGAAAAGGCCAGCATGACTTCCCCCTGGGAGTCATGGGAGTCTGAAGGATTTCTGTCAGAATTTAACATCACGGTGACGACTTCATTCAGCCGTCCAAGCAAAACGAGAAGAACAAAATGTGAGGCATTTGGCCGATAAGGAGTATTTTAGTTTGTAATGACTTCCCAATGTTCAAGTTAAATAGGAACTATTCTCATTCACAATTAGATAATAATGAAGAAAGTGAATTACAAGCTTTGGTTGGCTCTGCCCTTCTGCTTCCTCTGGTGTGATGAGACAGAAAGAAAGTGCGCTGACCTGCCGGTGCACCCTTCCCCTCCTGCACACATTAATGGTCGCACACTGAGGTCAAGTCTGCTCTAGCCGTCTCCAGGGCTCTGGGGCACCCCTGCGACCTGCAGCAAATGACACTTTCTGCAACATATGGCGCCAGAACACTAATTGTCATCTCTCTGCATGGACATTTGCAACTGTGTGCGCATGTTTGTGTGGCTGTTGACCTCAAGGGACTGTGTGAGCAGTGTTAACACACATTGACACATTCTGCATCGCTCATTTAGCCAGATTCACTGCTCTGTTTTGCTTGGAGCACAGTGTTAGATCTGTGAACAAGCTAGATTATTAGAGGGCGTTTGATATTAAAATGTGAGTGTGCTGTACAGAATGTTTGACTACCGAACCAGTCCGACCCCTCAGAGACTATTTAAATAATCTGCTAATGAAAGTGTGTAACTTGTGCTACCTCCAGCCAAAGAAAATGAAACATATCCTATCTGTTTTGAGAAATCGTATTAGAACATTGATCATTTTTAGGTATGATTATTAATATATATTAACTTTTTAGTTAGTAGTTCCTGTAGACAAGGAACTTTTATTGGAACCGAACATTGTAACAGTGCTAATTTTAAAAAAAAGTTGTTGCGGAGTTCAATGCTCCTGTCACTTACAGTTAACGTACTGTGCAGAGTTTCTATATAGATAAGCTTGACTATTTTCTGTGTTGTTATTCTTAATGCCTCCCACCGAACTCTTGGGGTCAATGTCCTACAAACCATTTGAAAGCATGATGCTCAAAAAAACTTGATTTTGATACATTTTCTATGAGGAAGCTTTATAGTTAGGTCAGAGATATACTTGCTTTTAAAACCTTTTAAAACACATAATTGCTAACATACTTTTCTGAGGGCACACCAGACAGCTCAATCCTTATGCAACTACCTGATGTGCTGGATCTAAACAAGAGATTACAGCACTCCAGGTGGATACTATTATGTTCAGCCAGCTCTGGCAAACTGATGACTAGTGGGCAGAATGCGAAGTCAACACTGTTCCCACTCTCCTTTTCCAACATTTTTCTCCTTGTATGGATGTAACAGTCCAGGAGTTGTTTCCATTTCCATTTTGCAGGTTTCCACATGGACCAGAAGTGCCTGGGGCTCAGTTCTTTTTTCTAACTGGAAGGTTGGCACTTTGATTCCCAACGTCTGCACTCACTTATCAAAGTGTCCTTGGACAAGACACTAAACCCAAAATTGCTCCGTTGCAGGAGCCAGCAGAATGTAAAGCTAATGTATGTCGCTTTAGACAAAAAAAAAAGTGTCTGCTAAAAGACACTGTAACATTGTGGCTTCTAAATTGAAACTTTCCTGTCGCCAGCTATTTTTACAGGCATGTTTCCTCACAGTAGCTTCAAGTGTGCAAGCTGCAACTTTTTAAAAAAATTAGATCTTAAAAGAAAGTGAAGGCAGGGCTTGATGATGGTTTGGCAAATATTTGGTCATAAATCATACAGTATAATTTGGCTGTTGACGTGTGCCAATATAGGAACTAAATGATTGACAAAGTAATTTGGCTTCATTCTCTGAACAAAACTGCAAAAGAAAATTTCAATTCATAGTGTTTTTTTTTACTAAAAGCCATTCGTAGTGTGAAAAGTTTAGTTGTCTTAACTTCTGTGCAGAGTGAGTTCCCGTTGAGCTCGTGGGACAGTGACAGAGAGACCAACGTCACTGTTCATGTCCAAAGCAGGCATATGGTTCAGAACAGACCCAAGGCAAACTGCCCAACATTTTTTATCCACTTTTATTGACTTGCCCAAAACATGACAAATTTACTAAGATTGTTTCAACCCCTTTCACCTGTCATCAATTGCTCCTATTATATGTTTTCTGTTTTCCTTATTACCCCCAATATGTTTCAAAGTGTTTCTTTGAAAAATGAATGGATGGCCACATAAAACAAGCACAGCAATGGCAGTGCAACGTAAACCTCTGAACAACATGGTGGAAGTTTGTAATTTGGGAGGCTGACTGAAGTGAGAGCGTGAGTGAGTGAGTGAGTGAGTGAGTGAGGGAGGGAGGGAAAGACAAATTGAGAGAGCCATTGTGGAGGATAAAAATGGGTTTTATAGCTTGTCAGAACTGTACACAATGGGCCACAGAATTAATGGTTTAGGACGGTGAATAGTGTTTGGGGGTGTAGGTGGGATGGCAGAAACATAAATGTGAAAATGTATTCATTACTCATTCCCTCACCCACCTTTTGGGAGAAAAAAAAATGACACAATGAGCAGCAACAGCAAAAACTGTAATAAACTGAACTGTGGTTACTTATCACACCCTAACCAATGGTAATACACATTATTCAACTTCTTATACTATTAGCTGCACATTTTTCAAGATTTGGCCAGCATCCAGTTACTAAGTGGCATCAAAATATTGAACCGCATGTATTTTGTTTGATCCTTTCTGTTGAACAAAAACCTTTGAAGAATTGGTTTCTACTAGAAATAGAAACTTCTATTTCAAACAGACCACAGCAGGTAAAATGATCACTTGGCAACATAATATTCTATAAAGCACTGATAGAAAAGTCCTATTTATTAGTAAAGAAACATTACAGTGTAAAGTACATAGGGTGCCTAAGATGTGTCAGTAAACTTTTGTTATGGTGGGAAGCACACAGTGTGCACAGCATTTGAACGCAGTGTGGGATTAGGCCGGGGAAATACTTTATTATAGCTCATCATACATCATCAATGGGTTTCTTGGAGGATGTTACCAGTTAGTGAGCTCATCTGCACCCTAAAAACAAGCAGTAACACATCCTCAAACCTTTAATTCACTGAGGATATACCAAAACAGCTATTCCTTTGTTTGTATGACAGGGGCAG